TATATATATATATATATGGATATAGAGATATATACGGTACAAATCCGTTTTACGCCTTGACAGGCGGGCAGGAACTTACCAGTAGCTATCAAAACAGCAAGCTTTGGAAACCAACTATAGTTGCTTTTCCTAGTATAGAAATCCTACTTTCTACAATATATATATATATATATATGTGTGTGTGTGTGTGTGTACTTAGGATCAGTAGGACCCTTATGGGTCACCGCAGAAAGCACCCTAAACCCTAAACCCCTGAACCGCGTTTAAACCTTGACAAGAGACCAGGGATCTCCGTGCAAAAGCCTCGCGTCGGTGCGGGACAGCTCCAGGCGCTGATCAGATCGCGCAATGGCGGAAATTGAAAAACCCATGTCCTTCGGGGTAGGGTTTAGGATTTAGGGTTTAGGGTTTAGGAGTTAGGGTTTAGGATTGATGGACTTAGGGCCGCGTAGCGGGTCATAGGGTTTTAGGGACTTGCGGCGTTGCGGGTCTAGGGGTTAGGGACTGAGGGCCGTAGGGGTTTTGCTTGGAAGCAATCTGAAGGAGTTCCGGCATCATTTCGGCCTCTATGCTAGGTCGGTCAAGCATCGAACAGTCTCTGCGAAGTGTTGACCTCTGCGCTGTTCACAAAGTCCTCGAGACCAAGTTCGACGAACTCTCCTTTCCTCGGATCCGCCGTGCGGCACTTCACCTAGGCACTGGGGAAACCAACTTGAAATGGTGGTTCGCTTAGGATTCAGCAGCAAGTAACCAACAAAACCGGCAAGACAGAACAGCAAATATGCCTAGTTACCGAGTTCTGTACACCTAACAACAGGCTAACATGAACAACGCTGGTAGGTAGGAACACCCAAAACAGGCTCACAGTCTCCGCTGAAGCTATGAAGTAGACCATGCCAGCATGCAGCCCTGAACCTTCAACCCTGAGTGCATTGCGAGCGAACCGAGTCCAAGTACCTTTCAGTTTATGTACTTGCCACAAGACAAAGCTGCAGAACTGTTCCAAACCTAAGTCCTTCACTGCTGGGCACTTTGGACCCTTGGGGTAAACTATAAGGGTTCCTTTCAGGGCTCCCTTAAAAGAACCTTTAAAAGAACCCTTGAGGGTTCCTTTCAAGGAGACCCCCCCAAACCCCCTAACTCTACAGCCCAGTGACGGCTGTTGCAGGCCAGACCTTCAGTGTGGCGTTCAGATCACTCCTGGGCTGTTCTTGGAAGCCCATGAGACAGCATAATGTTTCGTTTGGGGTGCAGGGATTAAGTTTAAGTTTAGGGCATTCTAGGGGGGCTTAGGGATCATGCTAGACTAAAGCAACTCTACGATCTTCTGCTGGAATTCAACTGCTGCACTAAATTGTAGAGCGTCTTCAAGAAAAACGGCCCGAAAACCAAAAACCCCAAAACCCGACAACTGCCCAGACTCGGCTCGTCTCGGGAGAAGAAGTTGATGTTCACGTCCTCCTCCAAATGCCGGAGGATCACCTGGAGCTCTCGGTCTCTCAGGGTTGAGGGGTTTGAGGGTTTAGGGGTTTAGGGGCTTAGGGGCTTAGGGACGTAGGGGTTTAGGGTTTAGGGGTTTGTCGATGCTCCGCGCACACCACCACGCGAGACGTGTGTTGTGGTGTGCGCCTAGGTTCAAGGCTCCCTCCCTACCCGCCCACCCAGTCTACGACCTTTGTCGGGTTTAGGGTTTTTTCTTTAT